CTGGGAGGAGAGGGTCAGTGTTTTGGGAGCTGGGCTGTGAACCGGCTCCCATGTAGCCTTCAAGGAATTTCTTTCTGGTATGATGACTTTAGCCAGAGTACAGCAGTGCACATAATCCTTTTGGCTACAGCGTTAATGGGAGTGCTCTTTTTTTTTTTTTTTTTTTTTTTTTTTTGTAACTTTTAAACTCCTGTTCAAAGTTGTCAGGAAAATAAAGTGATTCTGTGGATTTACTTTGCTTTCTTGCAGAGTCCAATGCTTGTGGAAAGGTTTAATGTAAATTACATTTCATATTTCAGAAGAATCAGTCTTACTCATTTAAATAGTGTGCTGGCTTAAAGGAAAAAAGTATAGGCTGTTTAGTTTTCCTTGTTGTTTGTATACTCTCAGTGACAAACTTGATTTATTTGTTGTTGGGGTTTTTTAATTATCCTAGACTTCAACAAAAAACTGCTGAGAAGCTCTGTATTCTGATTTTTGATATAATTATTTCTTTAAGTCTTTCAATTAAGTAACTTTTTATAATCGCAGAATCCTTTTCAAAAAAGAGTATGCTACATTTGAAACGAATATAGAGTAAATTCAGCTGCAAGCTTCTGTAGTAAATCACTTCAGAGGCTGTATGTGTTGAAACCTCAGAAGTAATTTATTTAACAGCAGCTTTCTGATGATACTTTTGAACAAAATACAGCCTTTCTAATTGTTTTCACAGATGTTAATTAAAAATAAAAAAGCATGCTCTGGAAAGCCAGTTCAGCACTTGATTTGCATAACTAGCTTAAATTTGAAAAACTTGATAGAGAAATTGAATTATGTTTTTCTGCTGGCTGGCATAGATTCAGAGAGCTGGCATAGATTCATAGAGCATGTTCTTTTGTGATGATTAAATTAATACATTAAATGTAGAATATGAATATATAAAGCTTTCCTATATCTTGGAATATTAGTAGTTCCTTTTACATTTATATATCCACATGAAGATTTATTTTAGATTATTGTTAAAATCCTCCTTTGAACTTCTTTTGAAAATACACTTTCCTGGCCATGAGTGCTCTTGCCTGACTAGGTAAGAGGGCAACTTACTTTTTGATCATTCGAACATCTGATAGCCTGAAAAGAAAGAAAGAAAGAAGGGTACCACCAATTCAAACTCCTCTCTGCTCCAACGAGAGCTATAGTTGGCAAGATGGTTTTAATATATCTTGAATTTGGTCATGTTTGGAACTGGAAGAACAAGAGGCAAGAGTTTTCCTGTGGCCAATGACAGTTGCTTAGGGATAGCTGGGAGATGAACTATAACTTCTTAAACGTTAGATCCTTGAAAGCACAAAACTATTTAAAAACAAAAAAAGTCAAAACTAACCAACCAACCAAAAGAAAACCTACCAGCTCCTCCCAAACAACCTATGGAAAATGTTAAAAATAGTCTTCAAAATAGTGCACATAACTAACCTGTTTTGTTGTGATCATTCTCCTTGCCTTCTCAGTCTACCCCTCCCAGTGTGGGATTTTTTTTTTTCGATAGGAAGACTTGGTGTAACAGCTGATAAAATCACTGGGACATGGGCCCTTCTCTGTGTCCGCTACGGAAACATCCTAATTTTGATGAGATGGGTTGTTCAGGTAGAGCAGGCACATAAATGGCTATGTTATTTAGTTAACCTGGGAATTATGGAGATGAATAGTAAAATTAAAATCCAGCCAACTTCTACCAAAATGGTTCTGGCCGCAGAGCGTTCTGTGAAGTGTCAGACTCGGGGAGTCAAGGACAAATTATCCTGACTCCATGTTATGGTTACAGTTTCAAACTGTCCTGGAATAATTATACTTCTGGCTTGTAATTACCTACCAGATGTAAGGACAGTGTTAGGTCTCTGAGTATTTGTTGGTGCTATTTGAGCTTTGGTATCAATCTGTTACTGGATTTATTATACGACAGGCTGATGAGTAATGTTTCTTTCTTGTGCTGTAACTGAGTCCATGTTGCTGATTAACTATAGGTTGTTGTAGGATTCATGGCTCTGGCAGGCAATCCAAAGGATCCTGGTTGTCTTGCATAGAGTTTTACTTTAGAGATTTGTGTGCAGGAGGCATCCCTATTATGCTGTGGCTCCAAAAGTGGGATGACTGCAGGTCAGTAGAACAGAGGATTGTATCCTAAGGAGCCCTTTGGGTTAAGTGGCTGATCTTGTGAAAGAGAGATTAATTAGAAGCAATGTGTGAGTACTAAGAGTGCAGTAGGTTAATGACTTAATTCTTTGCTGTGTTCCTTTCTGCCACAGAAGATGACAGAGGCTTTAGAACAAGGAGACAAAACATGCAGCTCTTCATCTTCTGCAGAGCACTGTGAGGTATTCCTCCTGCCTAGCGCCCGAATCAGCTGAAGAAAATTTGAGATGGTGGTAGTAGAAAGGAGGAAAAATAGAGTTAGTTCTCACTGCTCTTGCCAACTGCTGGAGGCATCTAGACAAATTTGTAAATTGGCCTAATTTCTTGGAGTTGTTCGTGTGATTCTCCCTACCCTCCCTGCCCTGCTGGGAAAGGAAAGGAGGTCATTTTGTCTGCAGGTGGCCTGAAAATTATTCTTCATTTGGCTGCTACTGCGAGGCATTCCTTTGTGGCCCACCTCTCAGACTGGCTCAACTGCAGCTCTCACAATAAGACATGGTACGTTGACCAAGTACGAGCATGGCAACACGGTTGCCTCGTGTGGCTGCGTGTGAGTTCACCAACCCACTGCCTTGTTCTTGTCCGGCTTACCTGATGGGTCCATGGTGCTCTGAAGACTGACTTTTGGTGGGGTTGGGTTCATCTAGTTGAAGGAGTTCCTCTTCTGCCGAGATGTAAATACTCCCAGCTTGGCTTGCTGCGTTTTCTAAATGCTAACTGGCAAGTGGGGTAGGCTCTGGGTGTGGGGACAGTGGTGGTCTGTGAGTGGTGACTGGGCCATGGACATGCTCCAGCGTGATCACGTGTGGCCCCAGAAGTCACTGTTTTGGTTGGTTGGGAATTTTTTCCTGATAAATAATTTAATAACACATTTTTGCATAGTTCTTTCTCTCTGCACCCATGTATGCATGCTGAAATAAATTCTCCATGCAAACTTGCTCAGTGCAAACAAAAGCCAGGCTGCCCAAAACATAGCACCGAAAGCAAAAGAGTGCCCTGTAAGCTAACTAAGCTCGATTTTTTTTTTTTTTTTTTTTCTGGTTGGAGGAAACAAATGTCCTTGTATAAATCTAGATGTTCTAGTATTTTTTTGCCATATACTGTGGTTTTGGAGCCAACGTATATACTTAGATAAATATTCCAAATGCCAGATGTCAGCACATGCTGGGTAAGTGCTTAATAATCATGAAACCAAGAGCCCTTGGTCTATCCCAGTGGAAAGCAGTGTGATAACGGAGACTTCTGCAAACAAAGCTGTGGCAAAGGGGTTCCTCCGGGGAAAGGCAGAGGATATGAGAGTTAATCAAATTTGCCTTAAGTCTAAAGGAAGTCTTTTTATATTTTCTGCCCTGACCTTTTCAGTTGCTCATTACATGGGCTTTTCGTGTCCACTGGGTGTCTCTCATTCCTGGCTCTGATCGCAAGAAGCCCTGGGTTGTGTGAGAACACACCATGTCCACACAGAGAAGCGTAATTTTGTAAACAACAGCTTTCTGCAATTTATTGACTACATCTGGAGCAAAATAAACCTAAAAATTGAGAGTAAAGAAACCCGAGAGGTTAGCTGGAATTGTGTACTGTGCTTCTCGTCTATGACATTATTCTGAAGTGGTTCTGCTGTCATCAGTACATAGCTTTTGTGTCTTTACATTAAGTGTGACTTAAAAAGCCTTTACATTAGGCTTTTTGCAGTTACAGTTAAGAATTAAAATAACAGTGACTGTACGTTGAGGGTGATCTGATTACGCAGTTTTCCTTCTCTTTCACTGTTGCTTGATGTGCCAGAGGATTTGAAATAGAGCTTCTTCATTCAGACATCATTTTTGCTTTACATTTAATTGTTTCTCTCCAGTTCTTTTGTTATACTTGAAGAACATCCTCAGCTAACTGTTCAAAGCAGCTCTTACCAGCTCTTCTTTACCTTCTAAAGATACTTCTGCCAGAAAAATAAAAATGCAGCAGGAAGGTGCCACTACCTGTTGTAAGCAGTCCCATGGGGGTGTTGTAGAATCCCAGAGGTTTGAAGACACACCATGCGTTGCAAGTCCTGGCACTTGCACAGGACTCTCTTCCTCCCTGGAGCAAAACCAACAGTTTGCAATGGAAACCAAACAAACCAAAAAAAAACCCCAAACTACTCATGTAACAGCATGTCTCCTCATGTAACAGCATGTCTCCATGGATGAAGATCCTGGGTAAATATTTACCTCTGAGAAGAGGTGATGCAGCATTACCATATTTGTGTAATAGCATTTCTATAACTATTGCTACAGAAACTGCAGCTTTTCCTGTAGCTATTCTTATAGAAAGGCAGCGTGGTGAAAAATCAGGCACTCCATTTCAATTCAGAGGCATTCTGAGCTTTGTTGAAGTGGGAGGGAAAAAATCTGAACTTGGATTCAACTTCTGGTATTAACTGGCATTGGCTTTATCTCTAACTTGACTCCGAAGATACTGCTAATATTGTGTCAAAGTTTATAGCTTGTTTCCATCCTTTCTCATTTTAAACTTGCTTAACAGGGAAGCGTTTACCAGACTTGGAAAAAGAGAAGATGATACCCTCCTTGGGTCAGTAAAGGCCCTGGCTGCTTTAGAACAATTGTTGCATTCTTCCCTCTCTTCTTTTCCTAGTATTTATTTTTGGTTCAACCACTTCCTTCTGTTTTTCTGTCATTAAGAAAAAAAATGGCTTGGCTTTGGGACCTGCAAGTTCCATCAAAGTAGTGAAATCTACTGCAGAAGTTGTCCATCAGTGAGCAGAACAAAACTCCCTAAGCTTATGCATTCTCCAAACTCGCAGTAGCTATTTAAATTTTTCTTTTTCATCCTAGAACGCTCCAGAATTAGGCCAACCTCCTGGTAATTGGCACGGTTTAAAAAGGAGCCCTCAGGAAAACAGCATAGAAAGTTCTGGACATCAGGACATCTCAAATCTTCCTGCTGCTGTGCAACTGGCTGAGAGCATATCCCCATCAATTCCAGGACCCACAAGGTAAGAAATGAAGTTTCTTCTGTGAACAGGATTGAAGCCCTGCTGCTGTTGATAGCTGGGGGCTGTTCGTTAAGTTTCTGGTTTTGTGTAACTGATTTTCAAAATCTATCATCCTGATGGATGGTGATGATGATGCAGTCTTCAAAACAACCTGACCAAACAAGACGACTTACTGTTTGGTAACTTTTACTTACTAAACTGACTTTTCGTGCCTTACTGAGTAACTATAAACAAGACTCCAGCTGCTGTTGTAACTCTTGACCTAAACTTCCTATGCTTTTTGCCCGTACTAATAAACTCTTGTCTGAGGCAGAGAAACATTGAAGAGTCTTTTGTAGTCACGTATGATTGTGAAATAAGATGTAGTTGTAAACAACTGCAAAATGCCGTGCTCAGCTCTGTATAAAAATCCTATAAAAAGTACCAACCCAGATAATATTTATTAGCGTTGCACTCTTCTAAATATCTTAAAAATCATCTGATGAAATAAATAGGACTACTTTCAGAGTTAAGGTATTCTTCAGTTTTATTTAGGATGGCAGAAGGTAACGTAATCTGGATTTTATTAAATATCACAAAGGGAGTATTTCATCTGAAGCATTAATATTTTTTACTTGAATACTTGAATTTTCCCATGTTACTAGTGTTTTCATCTGCTGGAATGAAGAACTTATCTAATACCAGCATGATTTTGACATAGAACTGAATACTTCCCAGATCATCAGTGTTACCTGAGATAGAATAATAAATACAATTTAGGAGTAGCAGTAACTTGCTGTTTATTTGTAGGCTATGGGTACCTTTTTAAGTATTTTCATGGATTTTCTTTTAGAGTAAAGAATTCACTGCAGAAAGATTTGCTACATCCTTTTCAAGTGGAGTATGTGTGATTTGGGCCTTTTTCTGTTTCCAGCAACCCTGGCTACCATTTCTGATTCCCGCTGTCTTTGAAAGATGTAAACTTGAAAAATTAAAAACAAAACAAACAGTAGTCACATAAAATATTTCAAATGCTGTTAAGTTAATGCTATCCCAGGCAATAAACTCTTCTCCTCCCTTTTTTTTAATACAAAATCACTAAGATTAAGCATTTCTTTACCGAGAGGATGGTCAAACACTGGAACAGGCTTCCTAGAGAGGTGGTCAATGCCCCAAGCCTGTCAGTGATTAAGAGACATTTGGACAATGCCCGTTATAACATGCTGTAACTTTTGGTCAGCCCTGAAGTGGTCAGGCAGTTGGACTAGACTGGTAGGTCCCTTCAATATTCCATTCTAATTCAATTCAATTTGATTCTGTTCTATTCTATTCTATTCTATTCTAAAATTCTTAATACCATGCAACAATTTGTGGCAGTTTAGGTCCAAATGCAGGTATTAAGTAAGATCATAATCAACCACATCAGGGAAATTTCAGGGAAACTTAGAGACATGACATAATCTGAAAAGACCTACCAAGAAAAACCAGCTTACTGTCTGGAAGGGACAGTTTGCCCATGCTATGGAGCTCTTACAGTTCAGTAGGTTGTCGTACTTCAGTACACACAGAGGAAGATATTTACTATTAATTATATTTCTTCTGACTTCCACTACCATATCTTACTTATCTACTGCAAATAATAAAGTCTGAGCAAGACTAAAACTGCAAAGTCAACTTACAATGATAAAGGTATTTAGGCTTGAAGTTTAAAGTGGCGAAAGGTCGCACTTTTTTCCTAGAGATGCGTGACTATTTTTTTTCTAATGTGGCATCACTTTACTATCTAGCAGCAGGTCTATACATGAAACAGCTCTTCCTTGGATGAGTTCTTTCTGTCTTTGAGAGTGTCTCTCCATTGTCATGTCAAATGAGAAAAGCCATAGATGTCATTCACACTAGTTAGGAAAAACGGAGTTTGGAGTTGTAATGTAAACTTGGACAGGGTGAGAATTTTAGATGCATATTTTGTTTGTTTGTTATTTCAGTTAACAAATACTACACGTATCCTCTAGCTTCTAGTTTCTCTCGGCAGTATTGTACATAATCACTCTTTTGTATGTGAGTGTGATGATGATTAACCATACTGTCCTAGCTGAAGAAAATACAAATTTCTTGTAAGATTTTTAAACTATGATGCATTCTAATTTGTGACAGTAAAATAGTCATTTTCTGCTATTCTTATCAGCATGCAGGTTATATTATGGAAATAGGGAAAAAGTTAGAGAGGAAATGATGAGTATTACCAACTGCTGAATTTTGCAGTAGGCCTATCATGACTAACATTCCTGCAAATCAGACTGGTTTGTGAAACTGCAAAATGACAGGTATTAGACTGTGTACTTAAAACTGCAACAGCCATACGCCCTCTGACTGACAGCATTTGTACCAGTGTCCACCTAAATACAGTGTTTGTGCCAACTGCTAAGACCTGCCTTCTGTACTGCCTCTATCCTGGCGATGAAGCAACAGCAGAACTCACCTCAGAGGGCTAAAATTGTGTATTTCCTTCTTGTTTCTCAGAAAATATCTCTATAATTACTCTCTTGTCCACATTTTAAGGAGGATATATACACAATTTTCTCCAATGGCTGCCTATAAAGACCTTTCTAACTAGCTACCAGGAAACTGGTAGGGACAATATCACTGTGAAACACTCAATATGGAAAATGTGCTTTCAACTCCCTGACCTAACCCTAACTCCCAGGTGAACCTTATCAAAGCAATTAATCTCTCTGAATTCCATTTGCTGCACCGGTAGAATGGGCCTAGAATATTCATGGTGTAGTACTGTTAAAGAGTAAGACATTCTTAGATGTCACCAGAAAGCAGCAAGAATTATGCAGAGACTTAAACTTTCTGACATTCTTGCTCCATTCATTTGTGGAAATGTAAGGAAATCAGGGACACAAAATCAGTAGGATTCCACGTAAGAACCCCGAGCAAATATCTTTCCATTGCTTCTGTGATGTTTGGTTTATTTTTAAAATTCAAAATGCACAAAATCGAGGAGGGGACTTTGGGGGAGAGCAGTTTGTTTTACCCTGGTCAGCAATATCTTCCTCTGCTTCTGTCTCCAAGAAAAAATAGTAGGTGGCAAAATCGTATCAAGCAGTCAGGGATGAAGCTGTATTCATCCATGCAGCAGGATTTTGTCGCTTTTACCCAGTCATATGGTGAAAACCATTAGGCACAGCTAGGAAAGAAGATAAATGAAAATTTGAGGGGTTTTTTGGTTGTATGAAGAAGAAAGTGTCAGCTTCAAGTTTCTCTAGTCACTCAGAGATGGGAGACCATTTTGTACAGCCTATAGACAGACCCGTATCAGTGTTGGTACTGGAAGGACATGGTAAACTTCTCAGAGTTTCATCACCTGAATATTTGACGTAAGAGTTGTAGAATTTGTCATTGGTCTCGTGTATTCATATGGGTGGACCTTTGTATATTCATCTTGTGGGCAAGGTTGGGCAGTCCTGCCATCTAAGGTGGCCTCTGTGGGAAACAAAGCTACAAGCTCTTGGCTGAAGACCTCACCATGGCTTTTAATACAACAGGGAATAGCCTGTCTGACTGGTGGAGGCTCCCTGGAGAATTCAGAAATCTATTAACCCTGTTGCAAAACTTATAAACCAGTTTGGTTCTTTTTTTGTTTTGCTGACTTTGGTGTACTGGGACAGAGCAGAATTTAACCCTCAAATTATTGTATCCATGCTATTCTTTTTCAAAACCTGCTATTCTTCGTACTGATGTAGGACTCACAACAGCAGTTTTTCAAAATATTTATTTTCTAATCTCAAAGTAGCCAGTATCTCTCTTCTTCTACTCTAGTGGTGGTAGAGGCAGCTGGTTAATAGAGTCTGATTTGAAGCCAGAAGTTATCCGACAAGGAAGTGGGCCAGACGATTTTCTCTCTGTAGGTCTGGATTTTAGCGGAGGCACAAGTTGAGGCTGCAGCTATGAGCAGGTAGAGGAGCACTAAGCATAAAAGTAGAAATAACAAACACAGGAGCCGAGGTGTGGTGGGTGATGGTTTACATTAGCGTCAGCAGTTCTTGCATGTGGCCTTTCGGAAGGCTGTGTTAACTGAAGAAGCAAATAGTTACACGCTGCTGTGGTTTGAAACAATGGACTGAGTACAGCTAATTAACACAAGGCTACACCATCACCCGCCCAGCACATTACGCTGGCCAAACTGGTGTTAGAATGGGCCAGCGGTAGTAACCCAGACTGTGCGGAGGGGTCTCTTATCTTGGCTTTTGAACATCTGTGGTTTGGCTGCAGCAAGTGCAGCCTTGCTTTTTTTGGAATGTTAGCACAGGCATTTTATACTGTTCTGTGACCAATTGGCGTTTTTTAAAATGCATTGCTCAAAAAATGGCAAAGCTGCAGTTCTGCAGGGCTTCCTTTTCAAAATGTGAGCACGGAGAGCACTTAGACTTATATTCTAGCTGGCTAAAAGAGCTTCACACTTCAGCATGCAAAAGCATGACCCTTGTGAGCTGAATGTCACACGGATGAGTCAGCTTGAAGGGATTTGTAAGATTCTTGTTTCAGGAAACGCATTAGATGGGCAGGAGCTCAGGCAATTACTTTTTATTTAGCCTTCCTCCTAAAACTGCTGGCACATGCCTGTTTTGGGTGGCTTCTAAGTTATATCCTGCCAAAATAGAAACAGAGACAATAAACGGAAAATCTTTGAAGTTTCAGATTCCGGGGTGTTTATTTTTAACTCGCTCCCGTATGCTGCTTTGAACACATCTTTTCCACCCTGAAGTGAACTCTCACAAGAGTGTGTGACCTGCCGTCTTCGGATGGAGTATCTCCGTGTGGAAAACTACCACGTTGTTCTTTTCTCCAGTCATCTGGGTGGCTGGCTTTCTTCCGTCCTCCACAAATCCTAAGAAATTGTTTCAGTCATTTTTAAATTCTTATGTTTTGGAATTCAAAACGTCTGTGACTCTTATTTTAAAATACTCTGTTTCAGTCCAGGTTTTTGGTACCTGTTTCTCACTAGTCCTATATGC